CTTTTGTTCTACATGAGATTTCTGTTCTCATTGAGCTTACCTTAGGACACCTGTGTTATCATTTAACAGATGTGCCGCCCCAGCCAAACTCCCCAGTTTCCAATTTGCCAGCAACCTCACACGTCCTTTACGTGGAGCCCCTGTCAAGAAACGACCACCGTATCTCCGCCAAGATGCCCACTCAACCTTCGATTTCTCAACCGTCCTCACCAACGCGTGCCGTTGGGGGGAAGAAACCGTCGAATCCTCCTCTAACGCATGCCGTTGGAAGCGAGAAACCGGTGGATTCTCCGCCACCACCCGGTGATGGCGGCGCGAAACCGAAACATCCGGGCGTGAACCCCGCTGCCCCTAATAAGGGCCGCACCTCAACCCCTCGTGGTGCCAACCCCCAAGCCAAGGCTACGTTGCAAGACAAAGCCGCGGTGGACGAGGCATGGCGCAAGGATTGGTACTCTCAACATCCACGAACGGAACGCTGTCGACCTACGGAAGACGAGTTCAGGCGCGCGATGTCCAGATTCAATGACGACTCACTTACGGGGGACGACTACCGCTTCGCAGCGCTAGCCTCTCTCCCCACACCTGTGGAACCCGGTTCTGCCTTCTCCATGATGATTCTTTGTCGCTCGGGGGCGGCCACGTTCCCACTTCAAGTAATGTTGGACTCGATCGGAGCGGAGCTACAGCCACTCGCCTGGCTCGCAGCAAAACCGGCCCTACGGGACTTCAAGAAGGTCCACAACGTAGGCATTAGTTTTACCTGTACCGACCGCGCCACCGTAGACAAAATCGGCGGCATCAAGCTCACCGTTTGTGGGAAGCAATTCCCTATCCTCGCCTACTCGGAGTACTCCGCGCTGTATTGGGTCGATATCGTCCTGTCCAACGAGGCGACAGCCGAGAACGTGTACGAGTACTTCGTACACCAAAACGAGCGGCCAGTTCTCATCACGTCAACCTACGACAAATACTCGGTCAAATCACGACATGTTACTGTCTACTTTAAATCGAACGAACCTCCGGCGTGTCTCATGTATGGTAAAGACGACCCGGTGCGCGAAATCTTCCCTCTGGGCAACGACTCGTTCGCCTGCTACGTCAACCACCGCATCAGCCGCTACAACGCGGGCCCCCCGCCGTCCATCAAGGCCAAACAGGCTCGCGATAAAGCAAAAAAAAATACCAAGCAACCGCCAGCGCCCCAGGCACCACCATCGACACCGACTAGGCGCTCGTCTCCAGTTCCATCGATACTGGTTCCGGAACCTACAAAGGACGACCAGGCTATGGACGACGCACAGTCCTTGGATGAGGAAATTCACCTGCCCATCGACCCCAGGCCCCACAAGGCGGATCACGTCATGGACGACTCTACTCCTGATGAAGAGGACACATCTGAAAGCGAGGAGGACGATGTTTGCTCCATGGGCCCACCTACCCTGATCATATCACCGTCGATCGCAGGCGATCGTGAGGAAGTGAGGCACCCGGGTGCGCCAACGAAGGATGCTCCTATGTGGCTCCGCATTCAGTACTCCCGCAAAGTCATGGGGGTAAAAGCCGCCAACGTTTCACCTCGAACGTCGAAATCAATCTTCGCTACGACAACCAACAACCCAACAGCGGTCGAATATGAGTTTTCAACACTCAACCGCTTCGCAATCCTCGCGGACGACGAATCAGACGCAGGGAACATACCTCCTCCTTTGAAAGTGGCGATCAACGGGAGCCAAAACACCCGCGCAAAGTTCAACCGCCAGGTTCTCACCTCGACTGCTTCACTCCGTCAGTACGATACGCTGGCATCGGACTACGCGGTCGAATCCATGCCTATGGCGGAGTTCCTTAGCTTTTTAGAGAGCTACATCGCCACGTACCAGAGTTCAGAGGACCCGGAGGAGGCCATGGCTATGCTTCAGGCTAATCCAGGCCACCTTTTACCTCTCATAGACGGCGACCACCCTACGAACTATGACATTTTGGAGACCAAGTTACAAACCCACGTTCTGCAACGCTGCATCCAACCACGCTTCACGCTGGAGGAAGTACAAGCTGCGCGGGACGCGCGGGCCGACTCCATCTTCACGTCCAGGCCCATCTGGCAATTCCTTGTCCCAGACACCTCTATGCCGGGACTCCTGCACCAATTGCTCGACGACCAGTCGCGCCCGCTTGCCTGGGCAGCAGCTCGGCTATGTCAATACCTACAAATCAACCAGCCCGAGCTGTATTTCAACCAAGCCAAGATCTATGGATTACTTCTATCCCTCAAACCTTTTCTGCCAGCAGCCACGGTGCCTGCGAATCCACACTTTTTGTGGACCGACGCCACCATCTGCGCGTTGGCCAAATCGGCTTTAGGCGATTACCTACTTCAAAGCAACATCCCCCACGCCCTTAGCGACGCCATTCACCTCCTCGCGGCTGCGCATCCGCTCACCTCCCACCACATTGGTTGCTTCCTCGCCTAGAGCAGCCCAGTGGCAACTCAATGGTATTTCTCTCAACGCCAATGGACTCAACCACCTACCATCACGCATCTTCAACACTCTCGCTCTCAAACATTCTCTCATCGCACTTCAAGAAACTAAATTTACCTCCACGGACCGCGTTGACGCAGCCACGCACCACTGGATGACCACCGACTCGTACGGCCAGGCCTTCTGGTCCCATGACACCTCTCCAATCTTCACGGGTCACGACGGCGTGGGCTTGCTGCTCACATCCTCATGCCCTCTGCAGGACTGTATCGACTTGTCCCCATTTTTCATTGAGGCGGCTCCATCGCTCACCAACCGATACATGGTCATCCAAGGCACCCTACACACACAGACGGTATACATTCACGTGATCTACGCACCTGTTGAAGAGACGGCACGCGCAACATTCTTCACCGACCTCCCCACCAGATTTCCCACCGATGCTATCCACATCATCTGCGGCGACTTCAACACAACGGTAGACCCCCTCGACCATGGTCAATCAGCGGCCCGCCGCTCCCGATACGACCAGTCGCGGCTACCTTTCCTCGCTTGGCAACTTGCTCTGGATGTGGTCGACCCGTGGCGTCTCCAACACCCGGACACCCAGGAGTTTACGGCACCCCACGGCGCCCGCCGCATCGATCTAGTCCTTCTGAGTCCCCAACTCTTCTCCATTCACCTGCGCTCCATTAAGCACGCAACCGGCATGAAGTGGCACCACTCCGATCATGTCCCGATTCTATTTACCTTACACACTCGCTGCTGGTCGCCACACAAAATCGAGCGCCCATGGCGGTGTCCTCCGTGGTTGCTACAACTCAAACCCGTCCAAACGCTACTCCGAGCATCGCTGGACAAGCTTCTGGATCGCATGGCCCCCCCCTCGATGATCAACTACAACCCAGGATGTCTGATCGATGAGCATAAACGCGCTGACAGCATCCTTCTTCGCGAAGCCTACATGGAGTACGATAAGATTCACACTCGAAACCTCTACGACTTACTGGTGGCAAAAAGGCAACATGCGTACGCACACCAAACCAACCCATCCCAACGCACGGCCACCGCATTGGAAACCGCAACCACCGAATACGACGCTTTCTACGCGACCTTTGTGGAATCTAAGAAACGCAACAAATTCGATGCCACTGTGGCCTCAGGCGAGACGTGTTGCCACGACTTTCTTCGGCGGCCGTCGCAAACTGCGTTCACCACAAAAATACCCGTTCGCACGGAAGCGGAACACAACGCCACGACAGCCGAATTCCGAACGTTTTGGGCACAGGTCTTCCAAAGCCCGTCTGATGGCATCCCTACAACCCCCCGACCATTCGACCACCCGCTCCTGGAACACATACTCCAGCACTCGACAAGGTCCATCACGGAAGCCCAACGCCGCCACTTAGACTCCCCGTTGACGGCACGTGATTTCTATGATGCAATCACACACACCGCCAAGGACAAGGCACCCGGCCCCGATGGACTTCCAATCGAATATTACATGTTACACGCGACGGACTGGTCCTACGTTCTCTCCATGGCCTATGCTTCCCAGTTAGGCAAAAGAAGGATGAGCAAGTTCCAGCGAAGAGCTCACCTTTCGCTACTGTACAAAGCCGGAGATCGCTTGGACCCGGGGAACTACCGCCCGCTTACGCTACTCAACGCGGATGCCAAACTAGGCCCGAAAATCCTCTCGTATCGTCTTGGCTCCATCTTGCCCTCGTTGATCCATGAGGATCAATTTGGGTTCATCCCGAATCGTTCCATCCACCAGGCGCTCTTCAAGTTTTCCAGCATCGACCAGTTCTACAAACATCAACACGCATCAGGGTCAACAGGACAAGATGCTACATCTGACCCTCCACCCACAGCAGGGGGCGTCCTCCTGGACTTCGCCAAAGCATTCGACAGCGTCCTCTGGCCGGTCCTTGATCACGTACTCCAGCACTTCAATTTTGGGAGCACCTTTCGTGCATGGGTGGCTACCTTTTTCTCGGGCACGTTAGTCTCGCTCCTCTTCAACGGCAAACCGATACGCCCCTTCGAACTGGGCCGAGGTGTCCGCCAAGGCGACCCACTGTCACCAGGTCTCTTCGTCCTCTTCATGGAACCTATGCTAAATTACCTACGTCACCACATGCATGAGATGAACGTTGTTACCGGAGACACCGCCCACTCAGTTGTGGCTTTTGCGGATGACTGCACTGGCCTGCTCCGCAACCTAGACGACACCCCTGCGTTCCTAGCGTTGGTGGATAAGTTCTGTCGGGCAACGGGTATGCAACTCAACCTTCAAAAAACAGTAGTGGTACCATTCTCTCCGAGCCTGTCCGAATCCAGCCGCCTCCGATTGGAGGCTGCGGGAGTGACAGTGATACGCACTGAAGGGCGCGCTAAACTCCTAGGCATCCACTTCGGCCCCACATTGACACCCTCGGATCGATTTGATCACTTGGTCACCACAGTACATTCCCGCTGCCTGCTCTGGCGCTTTCGTGCACGAACACTTCGTGGCAAAGCCGTCATACTTCGCACAATCATCCTCCCATTACTTTGGTACACATCCACAATTACAGCGACTACATCAAAAACATTGGAGCGATTCATGCCATCGATACTGAACTTTGTGAATGGAGCCACCACGAGTGACGTACCTGCACGAGCAGCACGAGGCCAACTCCCGAAAGCTTGGCACACCCTAGCGCCAGCCGACGGAGGTCTTGGAATTCCGGACCTGCTATCCACAGCCCTCGCACTCCAATTGAACCTGTTTGTGGGGGGACTTCGTCAGCTTCAACGCCAGCCCACACTACTTCCCGGGTGGCTGGCGCCGGCACTGCACCTGTTCACCACTACGCTCAATGGAACAGGTCTCGGACTTGATATCCTGTTCATGCGCTTCTCCACGCTCTCACGCGACGTCCACGGTTCCGCCACACGTTGCCTTGGCCCCTACCTCCACCAACTCATGTGCACATGGCACACACTGGTTAGCTCTATGTCATTGTCCGCCTTCTCACCGTTTGATGCACTCCAAATGCCGTTCTGGGCGAACTTTCTGGTGACACCTAGCACGAGGACCCTACACGACATCAGCACAAACTCGGTCCATATCTCGCGCCGTCGTCTATTCTCGATCCAGGATTTCCTTGACCAAGGGCTAGAACCACCGACGCAGGCTCAGCTATTCGACTTGCTGCTTCCACCAACCACCCGACAGCGTGCGCTCCGCTCTAGCAAAGCCATTAGCGTCTACTTGGAACCGATACTACACAAAGCCGCCATACCCATGCTCACTGCGCACCTCCCTCGACACACACGAGCCGCCATGCATCCATGGCTGCTCTCCGACCGTCCGCTTATACGCACATCGGCCGCTTCCATACGCGAAGCACTGTTCCATCCAGACCCACCGGACATCCCGACTTCCACGCTAGGAGTCGACGCTACCCCCAATTGGCCTACAGTATGGCAGCATGAAATCAAATTAGACCAACACCTCCTCCCAATTTTTGCTGACCTCAAGTTTCGGCTTCAGCACAATGCCTTGGGCTTCCTGTACAAGTACGGATGGCGGCGGAACTCCGTCGACTGTGTACATGGCTGCAGGGCCCGCGAAACAGGCGCACATCTCTTCTGGGACTGTCCACTAGCGCAACAGGTGTGGCAACCACTCTTGCTAGCAATGGGGCCTACGTACGGCGCCCTCACATGGCCAGTCCTCCTATACACGGATGCGTATGAACCACCCGCCCGATGGAAGAAAACTTACCAGCTGGAACTGTTCACGCTCTTGGGGTTCGCCCGCGCAGTCGTCTTTCGACAGCTTTGGGTGAATCGAAATCGCATGCTCTATAAGGCGGTACAAAACGTGGACTCAGTCACCGTCATTGCAGAGGTGGACTCGTTTCTCCGCCTACACATCCAGTCATTCCTCTCCCGGGTGGCATCTCAGAAAGATGGTACCCGCCGATGTCATCGTATGCGCAGCCTGGCTCACCGACTTGGTCATCCTTTCAACACAGCGACTCCCAGTCCACCTGCAAGCCACACGGCAGCACAGCTTCCGGATTCAGTCGCAGCACTGACAGCACCTTTGCTATGACCAACATCCAGGCAACACCCCATACCTTCGCCCCACCCCTACGAGCAATGCTGTTATTCGCCACGACGCCCAACATTCAAACGGGCAAGCAGAACTTAGCTTACCAGCACTGGAATGCACCAGTAAGTCGCTCCGACTTACCAGGACCCACACTATATCCTGGGTTGACACTATTACCACCTACTGCCAACTATACCAATCCCACAAGCGCCAGCACACATGTCAAGTTCGACAACACAAGACTCTATTCAAAATTACAAATTTGGCGATACCTCCGCCCAGAATTACGACAAGCTACTTTCGGACTTGGAGAAATTGAAGCTTCATTCAACAAACCAACAAACCAACCTACACGCCAACTTAGCCATGACGACCAATTTGACGATCAAAACGTACCTAAACTAAGTCTACCACGACACGCCGCCAATTCGGCCACGCCAAAAAAAAAAACCCGCAAGGGAAAAAAGGCGGCACAACAATCCGCCATCACGCCGCCATCACGCCGCTGCCACGCCAAAGCCACCCCACAGCCTCGCCGCTATCGCGGCGCTGCCAGGCCAAGCCACCCCGAAACGCCGCAAACCCGAAACGCCGCAAACCCGAAACACCGGAACCCCGAAACACCGCAGTCCCAAACGCCTCAACTACAACCATCAACGCGGAAGAGACCATGGAAAACTTACCTTGGCATCCAACGCTCGGTCCAGCTCCCGGGAGACTTTTTGCTTGAAGGGTCCACCCCACAACATTAATATCATCAAGTCAAGGTTGGAAAAAAAAAAAAAAAAGATGAAGTTCGTCCGCGGAGACTCTCCCAGGGAAGAAAGCTGCCACTCTCACGACGCCGTCCTCGGTAGTCAGGGATGGCAGTCCCGTCCCA